AAATTCAGTGAATTATTCACCACCAACCACACAGTTAGTGATGGGCTGTTAGACGTAAGAAGTGTTATATTTTCATTTTCGTCCTTGCAGAAGTCGTAACAGAACAGGAAAGTAAAAGTCGTGATATAGGTGAACATAGGGAAGGAAACAACACAGAACGAAAGAAAAGACTTATGGTTAGCGAGCACAAGGAACGCAAGACGTTTCTTACTCGTTATGATGCAAATTTAGTGATTCATTTATGCACTCTCTTGACATATACTCGAAAATTTGACGATTCGATTCAAAAGTTGCTATAAACAATTTTGAAATGGATCTCAACTTTCAGTCACCGAAGATAAACGTCTAGAGAAATCAAATGTCCTTACCTTTTTTGTGGCATTGTTGATTGAACAATGAAAATGATCTAGCTTTTCCCAGCAGTTTGAATTTTTTCTACGATTGCCAAATAATCCTTTCGTTTGTTCTCTCTTTCTCCGAGCAATCTTTGTTTGAATAGAGATCGATAAAAATAGAGCGTAAAGGTGTGAGGTGAAGATGGACACAATAAGGTTCGCAGCTTTTTGAATCGATGTCAGTTTCAGAGATCGAAACCGAATCGAATTGTCGAATAATTCGATTCGATTCGGCTCAGACAAATCGATTCAAATCCGAATTGTGAGGTCCTGTCGAACCGAATCGAATCGAATGAAGGATTTTTTGGCGTAGCCGAGTAGAATCGAGCCCGAATCATGATTTTCTTAATTATTCGAGACTTTTACATGGATTTTATTCGAATCGAAACGAATCGAATGAAGATTTCTTTGAAGATGGTCGAATCGAATCGAATCGAATCCGAATCTAGATTTTCTTATTCGTTTCGGTCTCTGTTTCATTGCTCTATCTCCGAGATATATGACTTTCAAAATTATCGATTTTGAAAGAATTTAAAAACAACAAAATTTTAAAAACAAAACAGTTTTTCACGCACACGCAATAGAGATTTCGAGGCTGCGTTGTGTCATCTGTATCGACAGAAGTGTCTACTATTTAACTAAATGCGTTTCTAAAATTTCACAATGGCTTGGCAGATAAGAACTGGTAAGATACCAGATGGATCCTGAAACGACTATTGAACAGAAAGAGAGAGATGACGGATACCATGAATATATTATTCGTAAATCTTATCAGAGTAGCAGTCGAAAAAATATTTATCATCGATTAGATGTCTTCATTGATGATATAATTTCTCAAAGAAAAATATGTATTTTTAAAAAATCTCTGTCAAAAATACATGTGATGTTATGCTTAAAAATAGCTTCTTATATTCGTAGCTTTTCTTTTTGGATTTGAGTCTAATAAAAAGGAATAGAAGGCACATTTGTCTAATTAACACAGTCATAAACAAGAAAAGAAGTAGGGCTTTTAAAGTCGTTCCATCCCCTTCTCTGTCTCAATGGTCACTGTGGTTATCGGGTTATTCTTTCGAAAACATACCAGACTTTACATCGACTTTCTCCAAATCGGATGAAACTTTCTGGATTTGTAGAACTTGTAAAGGTAAGCATAACTGGCGATTTAAAAATTTTAAAAAGCCTTGTGAAGGGATCCGAACGGAAGGGACAACTTGGGGTCTCCCAGCCAAAAACTGATATCTGGGATTTCTCCATTTGAAATGAGGGTGTGGATGTGGGTTTGGGTGCGGATGTTTACAGTAGAAAGACGCTCACATTCACATTCACATCCACACCCACCCACACCCACCCACACCCACACCCACACCCTTTTTTATTCTTCATTTCATTTTATGCTGAATAACTTACTAACCTAACAATTCAAGAAACTCATTTCCAAAGGTGGGGTATATTTGCCTTTCAATGGCATCCATATTCATAAAGTGATTGCATTACACAAGGAAAGAGGGGAAAATTTGTCGAGATTATACATATTCTAATGGATATTATTATCATTTCGCATAGATGATGATTTGTATCGAATAGGAACATTTTGTGGGCGAACAATCAGAATAGTTTGATGATGACTTCGACTAGCTTTTTCTGATCAAAAATCGCAGGCATGAATGAAAAATTTACAAAACCGTCACAAGCCCTCTCTCCGCTATACTAATAGAAAATCTAAGAAACTAGATAGATCCTTAATTATTGTTCAAGTAACAATCGAAACACTTTGTATTCGGTTGTGAATTTATACTTTACTGTGTATTTTAGCAGCGTCATCAATACTTCTTAAGTCAAATTCGTGCAAACTTCTGATTATGGACCTACTAAAGCTGTAACTATTAAAAACTACATTTTTGACAGCAACATTTCTATTTGATGCATCATGATATTCATGAATAGATTTACACATTTAGTAAACGTTGCTTTCTCAGCTAAACAAAATCTTCAAACTTACATTCAGCAGATGGCAATCGAGATTTCAATCATATGTTTTGAAATGATTGCAATTTAATAAGAAACTGGAAAATGATAATGAATAAAATCACTATAATTATTGAGAGTTACTATTATTTTTCATCATAGTGAACAAATTTTAGATCTGATTATTCGAGAACTCGCGGTTTTTTAGTCAAGCAAGTCCTAACAATCATGTTCAAATAGTTTACCCATTTGTGAACCTAAAACTAAATGATTTACACTTTTTCGTGTTCTTAGATGTAGATATACTGAATCTTTTCTATTGTATGATTAGTACGACAAGAAATGGATGATTAGAACTTAACACTTCATCAGACAAGATGGGTGTGTGGGTGTGGGTGTGGGTTTCGGTGTGGGTAGGGGGGCGGATGTGGCGTGTGGATATGGGTGTGGATGCGTGTTGATGGAAGGATCAACACTCACAACCACACACACACCCACACTCCACACCTTTCAGTCGAGGGTTAAGTGAGTCGCACCGACGAACGTTACTTGTCATCAGTGGTGGTGCAATGTAAAATACATAATGACTATTTCAAACTATCTGAGTACATTGTAAACAGGTGTAACAGTTAATTCTACCAGTAATCATTTTCAAAACGCTTGTATAAAGGTTTTGCGTAAAAGCACAAACAAATCTTTCGATGGAAAAGATTGTATCACTTATCGAGCTCCTCCTCTGTCTTGATAAGCTCTTAACATTGGTAATAGATTTGATTATTTATGTTTATCTTTAATATTTATTCTCAAGTATTTATCTAACGCATCATATTTAAATCTTATCCTTGGAAAATACCTCAAATGAATGTCTTTTCTACTAATTAATTCAGTTTATTCCATAAAATTTTCATATTGAAAAAAACTTAGACAGACCAGACAGCCTGCCTGGCCTGTCGTAAGAATCGACCTGGCCTGAAAATCGTGGCCTGTGCTTGTGACAAGCAGGTCCAGGCAGGTGGGCAGGTTTAGTGGCCTGTTTGAATCTCTGCCACATAACTTGAGTTTATTTTATCTTACGACGAAAGAATATTCAATATTAAACTGACTATGTTGACTTTTCTCAACAATTCATAGAATTTCTTTTAGAACGAGAAGGTAAATCAATTTTAAAAAAACATAGCTGACAGTAACAATATCTCTTTCAACAAAACAAGTCACGTTTAAGTGATAATAAAAACTTTCTCGATGGTTAATAGCTCTCTAAAGAATATGTTCTTATCCTTATCAAAGAGTATGTTGCTCTATCAAAAGACTTTCATATTGTTATCGTGCAAGAACACCATAAAAATGTTTTTTTCATTTCATATTCTATCTGTTTGTTACTGTTGAAGATGTCACGAAATGCTCTAGTTACTGGTTCTGCTCGAGGTATTGGACGAGCCATTGCTCTTCGTCTTGCTCGAGATGGTCTCAATGTTGCCGTCAATGATATTGAAGCAAACTCTTCCGAGCTCAACAAAGTTCGACAAGAAATTGAAGAACTTGGTCGAAAATCGGTGGCAATTATTGCTGATGTTTCTATCGATAAGGAAGTCGAAGCAATGATGCAAAAAGCTGCCAAAGAACTAGGCAGTTTAGATGTAAATGCTCTTGTCTCATATTCATTCCTCTGTTTATTATTGAAAAAAACATATAGGTCGTAGTTGCAAATGCAGGAATTAATCAAGTCAAACCACTTCTTGATGTGACAACAGAAGATTGGGACAGAATATTTGCAACTAACTTGCGTGGTGTATTTTTTTGCTACAAAGAAGCTGCTAAAGTGATGATTGCACAAGGAACTGGAGGCAAACTTATTGCTGCATGTAGTGTCGTCGGATATAGGCCATCTCCTTTATTGGGTCCTTATTCTACTAGTAAATGGGGTGTGCGTGGTCTTACACAAGCTGCTGCTATAGAATGGGCCAAATACAACATCACAGTTAATGCTTACTGTCCAGGTATGTTTCATACTAGTTTTTTTTTTACTTGAAATATATATTTAAAAAGAAAAATAGGAATTGTTCGAACGGCAATGTGGGATATGCTTGATGAAGAATTGGCAAAACTCGAAGGGAAGCAAAAGGGTGAAGTCATCGAAGATCAGTCAAAGAAGCGCATTGCTCTTGGTCGTACAAGTGAACCTGAAGATGTGGCGAACTTTGTGTCATACCTCGCTAGTAAAGACTCCGATTATATGACTGGACAGAGTATTATGATTGATGGTGGCATTCAATTTTCTTAAGGGGTGTGGGTAAGACGCAGACTTCGACACCCACACCCACACCCCAAATAATAAATAGTGCTATTTAGTAGGGATTCTATAGAAGTTACGACGTAATCTATTCTGTCGATAATAGTGACGTTTACTGATTTTGTTTAAAGTTTTCTATTCAAAAAAATACAAAGAATATTTATTTTACAGTGAAAATAGATGTAACGGATAAATTAGAAATACAGAAACATAAACAAAGTTGTTGTTATTAATTAATCTCTTATGTTGGACAGATAAACGCGGACTAGAATATGTTTGTGTTGGAATGATTCATCGTTTATAAAATAAACTATCAAGAGTCATTAATACAATTATGTCGTGTGAAATGATTAATATAGTTCTGCACTATTCAAAAACACACCAAAATAAGATCCACCAGTAACTAACACTTTTCCATCCTTTAACATGCTAACTGTATGTTGAGTTCGTTCTTCATTCATGCTACCGACAGTTGTCCAAGTTTTTGTTGATGGATCATACAATTCACAATCGTTAAGAGCATGCCGAGCAAATCCACCGGTAACTAACACATTTCCATTTGATAAGGTCGATGCTGTATGTGCCCGTCGAGCATGATTCATAACACTAGTTTTAGACCATTCTAGAAGGAAACGTTTGAATGTTTTCATTCTGAGAAGATTATTTATTGTTGTGAAATCTAATCACGTGCGGATATTTTTAGGTTTTTTTGGAACCACAAAAAGTCTTAAATTTGTTGAAAGTAGTCGTTCATGAAACAGTACGACATCAAGTGTGGTTGATCTTTCCGGCCCCATCTCAAGCTAAAGAATAGTATGGTGATTTCTCGTGAATTGTTGACTCAGCGATTCTGGATATTTTTCAAAGATTTTTTGATGATTTTCAGTTGAATTAGATAACCTTATTCTTCTTATAAATCTCTTTATATAGTGATATCAAACAAAGAGAAAAATAAATTTCATTATATAAATATCAACCGAGTGAAACAAACTTTGATAAAGACAAGAAATAATCAATATGAGAATTATTATTATTTCATTTGTTTTTCTTATAGTAAAGTTTGAATTATTAACAAGGAAACATTCTCAGGTGAAGGAGCGCTTTTCAATCGAGGTTTCGCGCATCTTGTAGCTTTTAGTGAACTGTGTCTATGGTACGAAAAGTTCGGATTTCTGGCTTGTTTCTGACGAGATATCGAGCTTCTAGTGAATTTTCTCTATAGTATGCTCACATTGGCAGCAAAGCTATACTTTCGAATTTTGACCTGAAACTTCGCCTGCATAAAGATCTCAGCTAGACTAGTTTGCATAAAAAATTTTAGAAGTTTTGAACAGTCTCTCCGAGATACCAAGTTTCCAAAAAATGTATGCTATATAAACTATCTATGAAAAAGGGTCTAAGTTTTGATAGTTGTGTATCTCCGAGAGACTTTGTTCAAAACTGTTGAAATTTTTTATGCAAACTAGTCTAGCTGAGGCCTTTATGCGGGCAAAGTTTTAGGTCAAAATTCGAAAGTATAGCTTTGCTGCCAATGTGAGCATACTATAGAGAAAATTCACTAGAAGCTCGATATCTCGTCAGAAACAAGCCAGAAATCCGAACTTTTCGTACCATAGATACAGCTCACTAAGAGCTACAAGATGCGCGAAACCTCGACTGAAAAGCGCTCCTTCACCTGAGAATGTTCCCTTGTAAGTGTTACTATAAAGCTTACTTGGCTGTTGAGTAGTAGTCGTAGCTGTTGCTAAAGTTGATGTTGATATTGTTGTCACTGTTACTGGTAGTGATGGTGTGGTAGCAATTGTGTTAGTTTCCGGTTTACTTGGTGCAAGAATAACAAATTTTAACACCAGAGAGAGAGAGTAACTGTAAATATTGTTAAAACAATAAAAGATATACAAATAATCTTAACCCAACGATGGTGATACCATTTGTGTGGTTGAATATTTTTAGTATTATCTTCACTATGTAACTGGTTGAAATGCATATTAGGTTCTTCAAGAAACTTCAACTCAAAAGAAAAAAGAACGAGCTATTGTTCCAAACTACGTCATATGTGTCTGTCACTCTCACAGTAATAACGAAAGATAAATAATATTATCTTCAGCACAAAAAGTATTACTATACTCATATCTCGATGTAATAAATTTTTACATGTAAGTATCAGAGCTGCCAGCCTGGCCTGGTTCCTGGCAGGCGCCTGGCAGGCCATCAGGTCGTCCACCAGGCCAGTCTGAATTTTTGAAATTTGTCCTGGCTTGATCAGGCCATCCCATGTTTGGCCTGGCCTACCGTCCAGGCCAGGCCGAAGTTGCTGGCCTGGATATAGCAAATTATTAATATGAATAAAAGAGACAAGACGACAACTATGGTTGATTAATTTTAACGCAGACAAAAATAGTACTTTTCATCATATTAAAAACAGAGGGTATTCCTTTTTTATATTTTGTTTACCAAAAACAAAAACGAATAGTCTAATATAAATGTTACTATTTGTTGTTATCAGCGTTTCTCTCTTTTCTACATTTCTCTATTATGTTTTCTTTTCACTGAGCGTTGTATATGTGAACATACATTATTCGTGATATTTTAGCTATCTTTTTTCGTTTATATGAAATAAGCCCTTCATGTGATGAAAAATATCTCTGATGATTGTCTTTTCTATTTCAGCTTGCTCTGGCATGTGAACGGCCGCTTGAGAAGAAGGAGGAAAGCGGAGGATTCTGGAATAACTTTTTTGGAGGATATTGTTCGAAAAAGGAGGAAAAAGGAGGATATTATTTTTGTTTTAAAAAGGCGTTCTAACATAACAAAAACAGCATGCTTGAGCAAAAACCAAGATCTAATTAGAACTATAGATGACTTATACGTAGTTTCATATTAACGATCAAAAATAAAATAGTAGCATGTGACAGGAAAGTAGTTAATCTAATCAAACAGTCATGCTGATGTGAACTCGACTTCATACAGTTGTGAATAAATGCTGGTTTTTTAGTGCGATTTCGTTTGTACAGATCTGGACATCAACAGAATTAAGTTTACTTAGTGATCCTGAGATTTTCTGTTACAAAATTTATATAAGTTTAACGATTCACAAAAAATGTTGGCTCTTCAACGATGAAGATGTATCAAAAACTTATTTTTATTAACATATCATATATATGTATGTTTATATTTTCGTTAGAAACACATACATGTAAATAACGCGCGATATTATACCAAACTTTTTCAAGCGCATATTCATCACTGAAGGACACCGTTTTTATTCTGAGATATTAAAATTTATATAGATTTTTATATAAGAATGCAAATGACAAGAAATGGTTAATGTATTTTTACAACCGTTACTTTTGAGAGACATAAGTTTCAATCTGATATATTGTTCGTTTAGAGGCCGAAACTTTGTAATGTCAAAAATAATGTCTCATTCTACAAAGATATCTGTGTCTCAGATAAACACAATAAAACTATTAGAATATACAACAAATATTGTGTCGTAAAGTCCACTGACATAGTCACAGAAGTCTGGTACTAAACAGTAAAATCAACTAGAACTAGCATTGCAGAAGTCAACTTTTGTTCACTCACCAGATAAAATATTGCACAAGGAGATGAAAAGCATGAAAAGAGGAAACTATATGACGCTATTCGTGGATTTTTGATTAGATTAGATGCAGTAGTTGCTGATTATTGAAGCAAAACTACTAAAAAGACGGAAAAACAGAAGATTATCATAAAAAGAAGGTTAGAGAGAACCTTTTTGTAAAAACACAAGGAAAAGGAGGAGCATTCAGATGCCAGAACTTGCTTTTGTATGAAAGAACTTGTTATTCTGTAATCTTATGAAAATAAATTACGCATATGACAGAAACTGAGTCAGTACATGGAATACAGAATTATAGAATTTTACAAGCTTGAACAATCATAAGCATGAATCGGCCTGGTTCCGCCTGCAGGCCAGGCCAGGCCAGGCTACAGGCCACTATTCGATTTCCTGCCTGGCCTGCAGGCATGTTAATTTAGACCAGGCCAGGCAGCAGGCCAGGCCAGGCCAGAAAAAAGTGACCTGTTGGCAGCTCTGGTAAGTATGATATGCCACAAAATTGTGTTTTAATTAGTAATTTTCGATTGAAATGTAAAACAAAGTATGAAGAAAGAAAACAAAATATTGAATGAAACTGAGGCAAAATTACCAGAAACATGAAAAGAAATAATTAAAACATGAGAAATAAATAAAATTCGTTCACTGTTGTATGTTTGGTAGAATAGATATGTTTGCCAATTAAAATTGTACAACTTTATGAAAAAGTAAAATAACTTACGTAAATTTTATTAATAAATTGATTGAAAAATTGAATATAATAAATCAATTATCGCTCAACATCTAGCTACAAAAAAATGAACTTAACTTTAAAAATGAAATTTCATTGATATAGGATAAAAAGATGACCGTATTTATCGATGAGAGATGACGCTATCAACATGAATAGACTACGTATATGTATAGACGTAGGCAAACGTATTTCGATGACTAACACACCTTGTTTGGTTGTGAAATTACATGATGTATAAAAACAAGTATTGCACCATTTAGCTTTCGTCTTTTGCAATCCAATATGTTTTCCAGAGTGAGTAATATTTTGATCTGTTTATAATTAAAGACATTCATACTACAACGATATTTTATTTTCAAAGTTACTTCGTGTGTTATTTGGCATTGGAAGAAATTCAGAATTGTCTCAAGAATCTCAAAGTAAGTCAAACTATTTTCTAACTTGTTTACTCTTTGTTGTTATTGACCATGTGAATGGACTGATTAAGATGTTAGATTATAAATTCGACTATTCATCAGAAGTTGAAATTTTTACTTATCTTAGAATTGAACAGTTAGTAACTTGATGTAACAATACGGATTGAATGAAAATGTTCTCAAAGTTAGATAGATAGAGATCTCCAGAATTTTGGTGAGTATCATGTGAAGTAAGAAGATTAGTAACTTCTGCTCCTGTATACAATCGATTCAAAAATTATTAGTCATAAAATAAAATGAATTACACATTATTGAATCGGGTTTAGTGATTGAAATATGAATGCTATTCTTTGAATCGATAACATTTGAGAAGAACATTTTACCTATGTTTAGAAATGCATCTTGTTATCGCACCTGTCAGGACAAAATTGATGTCTTCGTTCATTGTTCCAAGTGAACTATTCTCGATTGATATAGATCCGAGTTCTACTTTCAAGCAAGTCAAAGAGAAAATTGCACAACAGATCAATATACCTTTAAGCGATCAATTTTTAAGTTGTGATGGTCGAACACTTGAAGATGACCATGTTCTCGAATCGTACGATAATATCAAGGATGGATGTACACTTTGGATGGTGATATCCTCCGGAGATTCTCGTCAAACATACCGTGTATTTGTTTCAATTTATACTACTAACGATGATGAGAAGCGTGAAATCTTCAAATTAGATATTTTCTATAATGACACCGTGGCTCAAGTCAAGTATGCAATTTATAAACGAACGGGTATACCCATGGAAAAACAAACAATTATTTTTGCTGGTAAACAGCTTGAGGATAACCGAGTCTTCTCGAATTATGGAGTTCAAAAGGAAAGCACTGTACATTTAATCATTAAGAAAGACATGTAAAGTTGAATAAAATTGTTCTTATTTTTATTCATACAAGAAACTATCTTGAGGGTGCATATCTGCATAAATCAAACATGAAACTTGGAATTATCGGTACCATATGAACTTTTCAACTCACAATATAGAAATGGTGGCTGTTGAATGCGTGCCCACCTAGCATGTTTTCATTTGCCAGTGTAATACTTCCAGTTGAATGCATCTTATGCATGATATTTGACCTGCCCTTGCTACGTCTTTATTATCCTTTCCGTTCATATCGTTTTCTTTTTTCTGATGGACGAGTATATAAGCGTATGCTTTGTATGAAACTGATGCAATTCTTGATAGAAAGAAATATGGATGAATCCGTGGGGTTTTTACCACTTTTGTGGAAAAATTTCTTTTTTCGGTTTTGATACCATAGTTAGACGTATCATAGTCGAAAACGGTCTGAAGTAACAATTAAAATCTTTTTGGTTGTATAAAGTATGGAGATCCAGGTCATTTTTTAGGTACACCTATATGCATATGAGTGAATTGCAACTTTCTGGTACGATTGAAGTTTTCACTATATTTTCCTAATAACTTTTCTTCTCCTTGACCGATTTGGACAATTTTTTTTATATGTTATACCTCTCTGAGCTCTCCACTGCCACACCAAATTTTAGCTCTCTAGCTCATACTGCTGTTGACTTACGAGGCTCGCACTGTGAAAAAATCGTATTTTATAGAGAGATGTGCTAAGAAAAGGAAATTTTCTAAGCATGAAAGGAAAGAAAAAAAAGATAATGAATAGTTCATTTTGTAGAGTCAGAAGTGTTCTTTCGAATTGCATATTTTTCTTTTTTCTCTTTTTCTCTTTCCATGTTCATTCATCCGAATTACTGTATGACAGACACTTGTTCTTTTTCGTGTAGACCGTCCTTATTTTTTTATTTTCTTCGCCTTTCTGCAAGTTGAAGAAAAACGAAGATATTCAAACGAAAGAGTCTTTTGCAAAAAGCAACTTGATAAAGAAAACCTTTTCTGAACGACTTTTCTTTTCGGTAAGAAAAAAAGCGATCTTTTTCTTTCAGCTCCAGTTTCACTTACTTTGTAGACTGACTTTTTGTAAATTTTATTGCGAATAACTTCTAAAAGACTCATCCTTTTTTTGCTCAAATCTTTTCTGTAGATATACTTCTTAGATTTGTATAACCAGTTAAAAATTTAGCCCTCTATCTTTTATCGTTCTCGAGAAATTTACATTATATGATGAAATGTAGACTGACCTTTTATTGGAAAAAATGTAGACCGACTTTTTGAAAATTACTTCGTGAATAACTTGTGAAAGGCTCGTTTGTTTTCCTCAAAAGTTTTACTATAGATATACTTCTCAGAGTTGTATGACCAGTAAAAAATTCGGCTCTCTATCTTTTATCATTCTCGAAATATTTACATTATATGATATAATGTACAATGACATTTTTCAATAAAATAACGTTTTTTTTACGATACATTTATATGAAAGTAAGTTGCATCCCAGTTAGTATGTGGTAAAGTGTCGGAAAACTTTTGCTGTGCAATACAGGCACAGAGTGTAATAAAATACACTGCTCAAAAGTTGTTTAGGTCGACTTTCAATTTTTCGCACCAATCGTATCAAAAAGTTTCAATTCACTCATATGTACATGCATGTATATATGCATATAGATGTACCTAAAAAATGACCTGGATCTCCATACTTTATACAACCAAAAAGATTTTAATTGTTACCTCAGACCGTTTTCGACTATGATACGTCTAACTATGGTATCAAAATAGAAAAAAAAAAATTTTTCCACAAAGTGGTAGAAATCCGACGGATTCACCCATTTGTAATCAGCACACTTGACTCTATCAATAAATATGTATTTAACCAGAATCGAAAATAAAAAGTTTTCCAGAGCCCTGTGGGAGACTACAGGTTCCAAGAATCTCTTGGTGAGCTATACGAATAAAACCCATGGAATATTATCAGGAGTCATGTCTTACTTCAAATCGATAAAAAAAGCTAATTTTGTTGGGGACAAAAAAATGGCCTTATCCACCCTCGTCCTCTGGATGAACTTCAACGATTTCTGCACGAAGAATGAAGAGAATTCGAGCGAGTTACTCTAGATATTTTGGTCAGATCGATGAAAGGATGATGATTATCTATAAGCAAATCTTAGGAGGAAGCGATCATTTATTAATTGCGACATATTTGGACTTCGTACACTCTTATCGTTATATGTATTTTGGTGTTTTTACTTACTCATTTAATCCTTTGAAATATATGAAACAACGAAGGCAAATAATTTTGTAACCTGTCGAATGTTATACTACCTGACAATTTCTCCTCTAATTAGAATGAAACTGTGATGGTAATAGTTATTTTTCATACCAAGCGTCGCACTCATACTTTATTTTATTATTATTTTTTCTTGTTACTATTTCTCTCATTTTTTCTTTTTTTTCTCTTGTTGGTCTTTTATTTTATAAAGAACTGAAAGAAACATTAAAGGAAAAAAAATGAAACATGGTTGAATCCTTACTTATTGTGTTCATCGTTTCCCTTTACTATAATTAATTGAAATTACAAATTTGTGTAGAATTGCCAAATTTAAAGAACTCTTAAGATATTATAATCATTTTAGTAACACTTAAAATGCTTTGCAATCGTAGACTGTACTTTTATATACACCCTTGAAAAGGAGATATACTAGGTTAGAAACAATATTTCTCCCGGAGACTACCCCCAACGCTTACAGAGAAAGTAAACAATAAATTTTATTCTAAATGAAAGCCCATCAAAATAGTATTTATCCATAAGAATGAAAACAATTCTATGGACTTTTTTTTCGAGCTTAGATCATTCCTAGAATTTTAGGAACCGTTGTCGTAGAAAAATATTCTATTACAGAAAAAAGATCAAATAACATGTTGTATAAAAATATTGAATGTAGAAAAGTGTGGGGGTGTGGGTGTGGCTAGATGGTGTGTGGGGTGTGGGTGTGGCTAGAGGGTGTGTGGGGTGTGAGTGTGGGTGTGGGTGTAAGTGTGGATGTGGGTGGGTGTGGGTATGGGGTGTGGGTGTGGCTAGAGGGTGTGGCTAGAGGGTGTGTGGGTGTGGATGTGGATGTGGGTGTGGGTGGGTGTGGGTGTGGATGGGTGTGGGTGTGGGTGGGGGTGGGTGTGGGTATCTCTTTTAGAAGACGCCTACCCACACCCACACCCCACACCCACACCCACCCACACTCCACACCCACCCACACCCACACCCACGCCCACACACACCCACACTCACACACACCCACACTCACACACACCCACACCCACACACACTCACACCCACACCCTATTTAGTCGACGACTAACACTTTCGGCTCATTTTTCTTGAATTATGTTCTATGATTTACAAGATAATTTAATTAAAGCCATACAATATTTTACTATAGACTCCAGTTCAGTCCTGTCAATTTTCTCGAGGTCTTGGCACTAGTACCGACTTTGGTGACCGGAACTGATCTAGCGTATCTATAATGATGATGTGGTTTTCTTTTTGTATTGCAAGATAATAGTGCGACAATAATTACATGTATTTCAATTTGATATTTTTGCACAAATTTCATCACATAATCAAAAGGAATTCAATCGGTTACTCATCAAAATAAAAATTCAATCTTAGGAAATGTTGATGAAATTACTCATGATTCAAGGCTTCATGACACCTATGAATCATCATGAATACGTGTCAAATGATGTTTATTATGTTTTTTTTTCGTTTTTGCTTGAGTTCTACTTGCACTTGCTTAAAAAGGAGACGAATGAGCAAAAAAAACATAATGATTCATTCAGATTTTATTCGTAATGATGTGATGCAATTTGTTCCACTTCAAATAGTATATATTGTGAAGCATGATTACTAATGACTGTTAAAGTATATAACGAAACGTAAGACTCGATGATGGAGATGTGTCCATATATTCCATTTTTTCACTACTTTGAACATTTGTAGATAATGTCTAATCGTAAAGCTCGAATGGCACGAAATCGTCAAAAACGATTACCGATTAACCAAAGGTCTAATCGTTCACAATCACATTCTCAGAACTCGGCTAGTTCCAATAATGGTACACAACGATCGTGTGCAAGTGCACGTGACTCAGGTGAATTGTAAAGATGCTTGATAATTGCATAATATCTTTCGATTTGAATAGAACGAAGATCATTATTAAACGTAAATGATCAGATGCCACGTCGAACATCAAGTGCTTGTTCTTCTAGAAGTAGCTTATAGTTTTAACAAGAAGATATTATTCTAAATCAAAAATTAGTTTTAGTATTAAGTCAGCAATCAATGACTAATAGTGATACTTCTTCTCAAACATTACAAGATCAGATAAGATCACTTTCAGAACTAACATTATCAACAATAGAACAGTTTGAGTATGTTATTAGAAATGTTCAAATTTGAGAATTTTTGTATGACAAACTTTAGAATTTCAACTGAACGAATAACTCGTGAATGTGTTGTATGTGTTACAGATAAGTCTATCGATCAATTTGAAGGTATTTTTGCTGATACATGTGTGCATATTGAACGAACAGTTTGTAATTCATGTGTTTATGAAAATACGAAATGTCTTGTCGAAGATTCAATGATTTATTTTGGAGATGTTTCATGTCCAGAACCAAATTGCAATGGAAAATTTGACTATAATGGAATTCGACAAATTCTTCTTTTCATAGGAAAAAATAAACAATTATTTGAAAAATATGATCTACATTTAATGTATCGACAACTTGAACATATGCCTGAATTTCTTTGGTGTGCATATAATTGTGGTTCAGGTCAATTGTACGAAACAGGATCTTCAAATCCTGCAGTTACATGTAAAAAATGCAATCGTCCTACATGTTTTAAACATCGTGTTGTTTGGCATACGGATATGTCATGTGATCAATATGATCTTTTAAATAATCAACCATCAGAAACTGATGCAACTAACAAATGGTTAGAAATATTTGCTAAACAATGTCCACAATGTCATTGGCATATTCAAAAATATGAAGGATGTGATCATATGACATGTCGTCAATGTAAGCATGAATTTTGTTGGATATGTTTTGTTGATTATAAACTTATTGCAAGTAAAGGTGCAAGTCAACATAAAACAACATGTAGTCATTATCAGGTAAAACAGTTTTCATAGGATTCAAGCTCAAAAAACAGTATTTTCATATATAAATTTATTTTAGCCGGAAGCTTCACCTACGACTGAAGCTACTTGATCTAATTATTCATGATCTCAGATTTTTATAATACTGCTTTCTCAAATTTTTTTCAACTGTCCATTTCAGAATAAATATTTTATTTTATTTCGAATTCATCAACTTATAAGTATGTGATGGTGTGGGTGTGGGTGTGGGTGTGTGGGTGTGGGTGTGTGGGTGTGGGTGTGTGGGTGTGAGTGTGGGTGGGTGGGTGTGGGTGTGGGTGTGTGTGGGTGTGGGTGCGGGTGTAGACTAGAAGGGTGACTCACACTCACACACTCACACCCACACCCATACCTTCATCATCTACATGATGTAGAACTGCTCAAAGTGTCCCTGCAAATGTAGGTGGAATTTTAAAAAGGGGTGTGGGTGTGGGTGTGGGGTGTGGGTGTGGGTGTGGGTGTGGGT